TCGAGGTTTCTCCGCGCTTTCGAAAATTTATTCCTCCGTTCCTATCTGAGATTAAAAAATGACACCGATGTCATTTAATAAAAATATAATTCTCAATCGGTAAGCTTTGGTTTCATTCCTTCATCTCAATTAGGGAGGCGAGAAATTGATTTTTGAATGAGAAGAACTTGTCCGGAGTTACTGCACGCTTTGAAAATTCATTCCTCCTCTCCTAATAAAGATTAAGCAATGAAACCGCTGTAATTTATTGAGAATATAATTCTCCATCTATAGATATTGCTTTCATTCTGTCATCGTAATTAGGGGGGGAGAAATGAATTTCCCTATCGGAGGAGCCCCTCCGGTTAGTCCGCACTTTTGAAAATTCATTCCTCCGCTCCTACTTGAGTAGGATAGAATAGAATTTCCCGAAGATTCCAAAAAGCTTCATTGTTCTTCGTGCATGAAAAATGGGGATCTTCGGGAAACTCCTTGCGATCACAAGACTTTTACCGATTTATTTTTCTCCGTGTGACGTCCGTATAGAAGATCAAAAAATCAATTTAACTTTGGGATAAATGGAGAGGAGAGAAAAACGTGAATATCTCGGAAATTAGATGCGACAAAGTGGGCCCTTTTCACGTGGACGTACACATATAATTGGACTGAAATTTATAGAAATTTTTAATTTGCAATGACGAAATTCCTTGAAATTTCCGTATTACGGCAACGCTATAAAAATTCCCAATAAGTTCCCGGAATTTCTGCGAAAATATTACTGAAACTTACAGACATCATTCCTGATTTCAAGACATTCCTTTGATTTTCAGGATCATGTCACTAGAAATTTTTTACAAAATGACTTAATTTTAACATTGCTTGCTCATTGCATTTCAGAAATGCAGCTGCCTAAAAAAGACACATCGATTCCTAGGAACAACGTTTTTTTTTCTCGGTAAATACAGACAATAGAGAAATGTCAGAGTACAGTGAATAAACTTCACTCGTCAAAAACTCCATAATGGCAGAGTTAAATTTCCTGATTTTTTTTCACTCTCGATTAATTTTTTAAAGATTCAAATTGATACTTAAGTATCAATTGATTCATTCACATCGTTCCATTCCATCGGGAGATATTGTCGATTGGAGACAATTTTTTATGGTCACTGAAGAATGCAAACCATTCATTTAAATCTCGCAATAATCCGCGAAAAGTCTCATTCGTTAATCTATTATTATTGATTTAATCCCATTATGTGTATGAGATTTGTTGAGATATAATCTCTCACAAATATTGAATATATTTCTCATCAAAATAATTTGAAATTCATTCATTACCTTTGTATCACTGACAAAATATGTAACAAATGTGAATAAGATGTATTGCTCGTATTTTTTTTTTATTAAAGATCTAGTTGTATAGAAATTCAAATAAATGATCCTCTTTCGCTCAAGACTTCATAATTCCTTCTCTCCCTCTCCTTTATGATCAACTAATTTACAAATTAAGACAATAAGAAGTTGTATGAACGAAAATGGGATAATCAAGCGGATGAGTGAATGCAAAGGAGGTTTCATGTTGGATTTAAGATTGGGAACGCATCCCTGTTATCGACTGTTTCCATGGTAATAGATGAAAATTTCTTTACCCACAGAGACGGCCTCTCGATTAGTTCATGCGCGCCACCGCTATGAAACTCTGATCGAACAGTTCCCATAAGCCTGAGCAATCTCCCCTATTATCTCTGGTTCGCCCGGCCGTCAGATTTGACCGTGGCGCCATCCCTCCGTTGGGGTCGAACTATTGTTTGCTTGGGGTCACTTCAACCCCGAGATCTGAACCTCTACTTTTGTCAATCCTCTTTGGGTATAACTATTGTCACGTTTGAAAATATCTTGCAAAACGTAGAGAATGTATAATTGAAAATGACGCATAGATTTAATTCAGAATTCGTAAAGCAATTCCTCCAGGTAGAGGATAAATTCATCAGCAAAATGTTCTCAAGAATGCCACTCTCAACTGACGAGTTAGGTATTTAGGAAGAGAAAAAATATAACCTCAATCTCTAATTTTAGTCATAAAAATAATAATGTTAATTATTTATATATCTTTATAGAAGAACAAGGAAAAGGGGATGATGAAGGGGGACAGCAGCAGAACAACAAAGGTAAAAATATATTTTCAACCTCATATTTATGACCCTGAAGTTTGCAGACCAAAATCTTTAGTAGAGCATATCTGATGAATTAATTGAGCAATGAGAAAATTTCAAATTTCAATTTGTCGGGTGTAACGAAATCTAATCGTGATGGTGGCTGAATATGTAAATAAATAAATTTGGGGTTGATTTCCTCAAAATTTAACTATGGAAAACCATTGACACGGCATATCTCACTCCGGAATTATTTTATTGGAAAAACAAATATGGTCACGATTTTCATTCTACGAAATTTTGACGTGATTTTTGTTCTTTTTTCTGGTCCTATCGGTTAACGTATAATCCGCTGTAGAACACTAAATCTTTGGCAAGCTCCATTATTCATCCAAATGATCGGATCGAAAAAAGAAAAAGCATCACGCTTGAAGAAAGTATAAATCTTTTTGTGATGTTTCTTGTTTTTTGTAGTAAATGTTTCATTAATGATATATGCAATGTTTTTCACGAGGGAAAACATCAACAGAGGTTATCTACGAAGAAGATACATAGATTGGGACAAAAAACAAATGAAACGGTGGATTACAATAAAAACTCAACGTGAAATTTTTTTTTTCGATTTCTCTTCGATATTTCCATCAAAAATGATGGAATTACGAACATAAATACGATCAACATCGGATCTCTTCTACAAAAATGATTATATTCTTAAAAAATCGGCATTTATACATGTTATTCTTGAAAACTCCCGTGAGTTTCTTCTTTTTAGGGCTACGCACGAGACGAGACTTTCGCACCAGTCTCGTCTCGGTCTCGGAAAATATCCAAATTTCCAGTATCGTCTCGGTCTCGTGAATGTAAAACTTAGAAAATAGGAAAACTCATTTTTCTTCAAAAAGTCACAAAGAGATGGTCAACCTTCATCAAAGGTCACAGAAGGAAGGTCAAATTTCACGGGGTTCATGAAAGTAACAAGAGGCTGGTCAAATTTTACGAGGATCAAACATCACGAGAGTCTTTAGAGGATGGTTAAATTTTCCGAGGGTCAAACATCACGAGGGTCTCAACGGGATGGTCAAACATCACGAGGGTCACGTAAGTCACAAGGGAATGGCCAAACTTCACGAGGGACATGTGGGTCACAAGGGAATGATTAAATTTCACGAGGGTCAAAAATCATAAGGGTCACAAAGGGATGGTCAACCTTCATGGCCGTCACGAGAGTCACAAGGGTGTCACATTCAACAGTCGTGAAATTTAGTCATTGCGTTGTAAATCTTACGAGAAATTTAGTCTTAGAGAAATGTGAAGACAAAAAGAATGATAAAAATAATGTGCGAATGTTTGAGAAAGTCCGAGCATTTTCTCAAATTTTCTAGAAAATCGGAGTTTTTTCGACAACCAAGAAAGTTCCTCAAATTTCCAGTAAAACCGTACAGTTTTCTTGAATTTTCCAGTTTTGGGAAAACTGGACAGTTTTCTTGAATTTTTTAGAAAATTGCAGGATTTTCTCGAATTTTCTAGAAAACCCGAGAATTTCCCTCAGGATATTCGACCCTCGTAAAATTTGACCATCCCCTTGTGATCCTCGTGAAATTTGAGTATCTCCTCGTGACTCTTGTGATGTCTGAGTCTTGCGAAATTTGACCATCCCCTTGTGACCCTTGTAATCGTCCCGATTTTTTACCCTTGTCAAATTTGACCCTCCCCTCATGATCTTCGTGATGCTTGATCCTCGTGAAATTTAACCATCACCTTGTGATCCTCGTAATCCTCGTGATTTTTGTGACCCTTATACAATTTGCCCATCCTCTTGTGACTAGAGTTTCTAGAGCTAGCTCTTTCTTCTCTGTGACATATTTCTTTGCCATTTCCTCACAAAATACACTTTGTTAAACGATTAGATATAAGAAATGCAGCGTCATGACTATAGCATCGATTGTAAATCCCTGAGAATAATAATTATAAGCAAAGTAACGAATATCACGTAACAATTGGGAGAGAATGTGAAGTATGATTTTTTTTCCTTTCAACATCATTGTTCGTATAGTAGATATCCGATATTAAACGTATTTATTTTCGTAATTCTACTATTTTTCATGGAAAGAATGAAGAGAAATTGAAAAAAAAATATTCACGTTGAGGTTTTATTGCAATCCAACGTTTCATTTGTTTTATGTCCTAAACTACTTGTCTTCCTCGTAGATATCCTCTGTTGATGTTTTCCCTCGTGAAAAACATTGCATATATCATTAATGAAATATTTATTACAAAAAACAGGAAATATCACGAGAAGATTTATAATTTTTTCAAACGTGATGCTTTTTCTTTTTTCGATCGGATCATTTGGATGAATAATGAAGCTTGCCAAAGATTTAGTGTTCTACTGCGGATTTAACGTTGACCGATAAGACTAGAAAGAAAAGGACAAATATCACGTCGAAATTTCGTAGAATGAAAATTGTGACCATGTTTTTTTTCCAATAAAATAACTCCGAGGTGAGATATGTCGTGTCAATGGTTTTCCATAGTTGAATTTCGAAGAAATCAACCCATAATTTATTTATTCACATATTTAGCCACCATCACGATTAGATTTCGTCACACCCGACAAATTGGAACTTGAAATTTTCTAATTGTTCAATTTCCTCACCAGATATGCTCTGTTGAAGATTTTTGTCTGCAAACTTCAGGGTCATTCATATTTATAACTAATCGCCTGAATTTTTCACTGCAGCAAAATCATTCAACTCTAATGGCAATCCGAAACGTGCTCTGACATCCGAAGAACTCTACCAGAAATTCAACGAATTAAAAGGTCAAAAGAAACTCAGTTATAAACAGAAACATCTAAAGAAAGGCTTAAAAAACCGCATTAGGAAGAGATCTAAGCGCGAGGAGCGAGTGATGCACAAGAACCTTATAAGATCAGAACTGAATGCCGATGGAGTGCAGCTAAATGACAGGGAGGAGGTGGAAGTCGCTCCAAGGGTGCCCCGTGCCAAGCCAGTTTTCAATAGTAACGGTCACATGGTGTTTAGTAAATTTGATTTCTCAGATATTGGAAATAAGAAGAAAGCTCAGAAAACTGAGAGCCATCCGAAGAAGGTCCTGGGACAGCTGAAGGAGAAGAAAGAACGATTGAAGGATCTAGTTACTTCTGGAGAAATGGAAAAAGCAATGGTGTTACAGGAGAGGGATGCATGGAAAGCTGCTCTCGCTAAGGCTAATGGAGAAAAAGTAATTTTTTATGATTATTTTTGTTTACTTTTAACCCCTCATGTATGGCACCTTTTGGGTCCAAGCTACCCGTTGTGCCGGTGCCACATGGCAATATCATCGATATATCATAGTAACACCAGCTGATGGGAAAAGTTAATGGATCGATACATCGTATCAATAGCCTGCGTGAGTAGTTAATTCCACGAGATGTAGTGAAACAGATATCAATCAATTTCACTGAGTCATTTCAAGCGAGATTATCATGTGAAACTGCTAATGAGAAATTTTGTAAATTTGAAAATCTATTTTCGAATTATGGAATCATTTTGGTGATGAGTTCTTTGAAAAAAAAATTATGAGATGGTACACATATCAAATTTTATGACGCTGAAAGTACCGAGAGTTTCCAGCGGGAACTTTGGGTTATCAGGCAGAAAATTTTCGTCAAGACTGTACTGACGGTGCCCCTAACAAAAAATTTGAAACCCGTATGGTGAACCGGGAATCTTAACGTCTAAGAGTTGATTGCTATGGAGGGAAAATCTCAAAAAATTAGGGGAAGTATTGTTACGGAAATTCGTTAGTGGTTAATTTTTTCTGTTGCAGCTCATCTGAAACCCTAATCGAAGAGTCAAGACCGTTGCGCATGAGTTGAAAAATTGCAAAAAATTAAAAAAGGTGTTACAAGGATTGGCAAATTCATTAGTGGTTGTTTTTTTCTGTTGCAGCTATTTTAGTATGTAATGCAGGGATTAAAGTCATTTCGCATAAGTCGAAAAATCCCCACAAATTAGAGGAGATATTTTGATGCTTCGTAAATTCGTTGGTGGTTGATTTTTTCTGATGCAGCTCATCTAAAGTGCTAATCGAAGGGTCAAGGGTGTTCCGCATGGGTTAAAAAATGCCAAAGAAATAGGGAGATTTGTTGTCTGAAATTTTTTGTCTACCTCCACTCGTTCAAGAATGGTCTGTGAAAGATAGCGGGAGTAGGAATGAAACGGGCGGCGCGTAAGCCCCTGCACTGGCGGCAATGTGGGAGACTGTGCTTTCGGAGCCGTCAGACGGGAGTTTGAGAGAGATAGAGAAAGGTGTTATGAATAAAAAATATTTACCACGAGATTTTACATATAAAACCTCTTTTCGCAAATTTCCTGTAGGTCCATTAGTTGATGATATATTCTCGTTTTCACTCTGGAAGATGAGGCAAATTACTGTTGTATTCTATATTTTTATACGTAACAGTAATTTTGTTTCCAACTCTCGTGATTGGGAGGCAGATCAGTAACAAGCAATTTTTTATTGACCGTGAGAATAGATAATGATTGTTATTACTCATTTTTTGATGGAATTAACTTTTTGACGGAATTATATTTATATCTTTGCCAGATAATTCTCGAACGAAAGGAGATGCAAAAAAATTCCGGACAAAAAATATTTGTCATTCAATAATGTGTATATTACGTATACAAACATTTTCTCACAATCACACGACCGAATGAGATAATTACGATAGGATGATGCCTGGAACACTGCTTTAACTCACTATGCAAAAAAACGTAAATATCGCATTAAGGACTGGAAATGAAGAAAAACATTAGAAAAGTAATTTTATGGAAAATTTGATGCCGAATTTTTTTTTCGAAACATTTTTTCCTATCTCATTCTAGTTTGTACTAAACGTTCTGCAGTGCCCTGACGCGCAGTGTAAACGCTGCCTGCCGCCTGTTCCGTTTCCACCCTCAATATCTTTTTATCTATGATAGAAGAAAATTTTATATAACAAAAAATATTCATTTTCATGCAAGAAATATTCTTTGTTTGAGAACTTTTTCGATAGCATTAGTAGACTTCGAGTTATGGCAATTTAAACAATGAAATTGTGAATAACCATGCCTTCGCTCAACCGGATGGAAAAATAACCAACATATTCGTGTCTTACACCCTCGAATTAGTAATTAGCCGGGGACCTCATGTTCGTGATAAAATCATGGCCAGCGTGAGGACTATTATTTAGGGGTCTAATCAAGTGGTTCAAGTTCTTTTGCTTGCGTCAAAAATTCAAAAAAATTAAGGCAGATATTTTGATGGTTGAGAAATTCGTTGGTTCTTGATTTTTTCTGCTGCAGGTGATTTACGGCTGCAATCGAGGAGTTGAGGTCGTTTCGAATGACTTAAAAAAAAAAATAGGAGAGGTATTTTAAGGGTGGGAAAACTAATTCTACTAGTTTTTTCCTGTTGCAGTATATCTAGAGCCACAATCGAGGGGTGGAGGTGGTTTCACAACGGTATAAAAATACGAAAAAATTAGGGGAGGCATTTTAGCGGAAGAAAATATAATTTCACAAGACTTTTCCTCGTTGCAGTCTCTCTAGGACCATTATCGAGGGATGGGGGTGGTTCCACAAGGGTGAACAAATTCCAATACAATAGGAGGCAATCCGCACTATGTCAGTAAAAAAAAATATTTTTCTCTAGATTTTGATATAAATTGAGTAGGGGAGAGTGGGTAAAACGAAACAGTCGAATAACGACTGTTTGACGCAATTCTAGCAAACAATTTTTTTATTAAATTTTTCATTTCATTAACTTTTGTTTATTAACTTATTTTATTCTTGGGACTACTGACGAAAATGATAATTTTCCATTTAGTAGAATGGAGAATTATTGAGAAGTTTTGAGAGGAAAAGATTTTGTTAATGTATTAATTGAAACGAAAATGAAACAGCAAAATCCGAAGTCCAGAGCAAGGCCCAGGGGAAGACCGAGAGGGAGAAAATGAAAAAGGTGATGCTGAATTTCGATCGAATGAAGAAAGAAAAGTGTAATCGATCTAACTTAATCGATTGAATTATAGTAAATTGAATTATAAGACGAATAGAAAATTATTATTCTTATCAGTATTCCCATCAATAAAAAAAATTGATAAACGAACGTTAATAAAATAGTACATTAGAGTACAAGGGCACAAATTTAGTTTTCAACGAAAATCAATTTGAAAACTAAATTTATTACCGAGTGCTCTATTAGTACATTAGAGTACAAGGGCACAAATTTAGTTTTCAACGAAAATCAATTTGAAAACTAAATTTATTACCGAGTGCTCTATAATATTTTATGTCAAGTCGTGCAGAAGTCGAGTTTTGAGCAGGCTGCGCTTCGCGCAGCCTACTCAAAACTCGACTTCTGCACGACTTGACTTAAAATATTTTATGGCACGCCGTGCAATAAGTCGAGATTATCGCACGCTGCGCTTCGCGCAGCGTGCTTCAAACTCGACTTCTGCACGATGTGGCATAAAATAGTATAGACCACTCGGGCATAAACTTCGTTTTCAACGAATGTGAATACAGACCTCGCCTTCGGCTCGGCCTGTAAACTACACATTCGTTGAAAACGAAATTTGTGCCCTTGTACTCTAATGTACTATTTTGCTTGAATTGCGTCTAATAGTCGTTTTTCAGCTGTTTCATTTTCTCCTATGTTGTAGAAAGACCCCTAAGATATCGCAAAACGTGAGGAAAAAGAAAAAAAAATTCTTTCAAAAGTTATACAAAATACAAAATTGAAGATCACACTGGGTGAGTAAGTGTTTATAACATCATAGCTGGAGAAATATTGGTTGTATCGAAGAAATGATCAAGTCCTTTATTATGGCTAAAGGGTGATAGATTAATATAAAAATGTTATTTTTACTAAAAAGCCCAACTTACAATAAGTTTATTGATAAACAATATAGAAAGTTGATAAAAAAATATGTTTACAGGTCTTGAAAAATCCGAAAAAAATATATGAAATAGAGTGCATATCAGAGATTTCACGGCCAATTCATTTTTATAGGGTGTTTCGATATAGGGTCTGAAATATTAATTATTTCGTAAGGCCGCGACAGATAAAGTGGATTGGTGCGCTCGTTCCGCTGAGCGAGTCATTCTAGCAAGTCACGGAAAGAAAAATCTCGAAAATTAGTGTACCTTTTCACTAACGCATGGGACGTACCGAAGGGGGCAAAAAATGTAGAATACTTTGTACAAATTGGATTCTGACAATCATAATTCAGACTATCTCTCTCCAACTTTGCGTGTAATGCACCCGACTTTTTTTCCCTTATTAGAAACTTGTTTGAGGAATCGTATTTTTTTTTTGAACCAGGGACAAAAAATTAACGGAGCCCTATCCAAATTATAGTGTGCCATTCACTGAATTTTTGTCTGCTCTGCTTTACTAAGCGGCGATCTTTGTGTTTTGAAAAACGAATTGGCCTTGCAATGCACGTGGAGTATCGTATGCAGTGCAAATTTTGGTAGATGGCACTCTAATTTTTGGATGCCCGAGCGCGCGATTTCGTAGAACGCCACCTAGTAGTTTTTAACTTGCTCCCATAAATTGTCGGAGTATTATATTTCCATTATTAGCATACTCTCCAATACGTCCCCGCGCTGATGAGTAGCACACTAGTTTTTGAAGAAACGTTCGACGAGATTGTCGTGTATGTTTCGAGTATCTGAAAAGTAAATATGTAATTATTCACATTTAAATCCATTCTTTTCCTTTCTGTCTAAAATTATGAGAAGTACAGAAAAACAATGATAATTTATTGAAAAGAAAAATAGTACAAAATGTATATTCAACGTAAATTCAACGAAGTGGTATGCATTTTCAAGTTATTTTGCAATATTTCGAATTTTCAGACTATGACTATGAGTATTAGAAATCGGTATAAAACAATGCAATGGACCAGTTCCAACAATGGGTGAAGAGTTTTCAAATGGAATTTTCAAACCTTGCTCTCCCAGTGCATACTTTTCATTTGTACAAAAAATGGTTTGAATGGAATCAATTGATTCTTTGGCAAATTCATACAACTGTCGCGGAGTAGTGATTTAATTATCATATGCTCTTTGTATACTTACTCGTGCTGCGGCTCTCTTGAACTTACCACCAATCCCATCACAAGGTGATCTACCGTGAGATTTTGCAAAGAAATGCAATTCAGCATCTACACCAGTCATCAATTCCGATTATGGATGAGTAAGAATATCATAATTGATATAACAATGAGAAGCCAGCCAATTTAGAATGTTATGTCAATAGTACCAGCAATTGTATACTTCTCTCATGCGCTACCCTTCCGTCGTTTTTATTTATTAGTTATGAATCAAATTCCTAGAAATTTCATAAACTTTGAACGATGATACTCAAATAAGCTCACTGCAATTCACAAAATTAAGAAGAATAATAGGCTGAGAAACCACTGAGTATGATTCAATGAGAGCTCTCTTATCGTCCTACTCAACGCAGTTGGTCAACTTAGCTCGATGCAGGCTCACATTATACATCATATCTCAGGGTCTATATCGAAATACCCTATAAAAATTCAACAGTGAATTCTCTGATATGCATCCGATGACATTCCTTTTTCGGAATTGTTGAGATCTTTAGCAATAAAAAATACTTCATCATTTTTTCGATGCAACCAATATTTCTAGAGTTATGACGTTATAAAGAATTACCCAAAGACACATCCACTTTTGTATTTTGTACAACTTTCGGAAGAAATTTTTCCATTTTTTCCCTCGAGTTTACAGATATTTCTGGACCTCTTCTGCAGTGTACCCAAAAATCGAGCAAAAATAATTTTTGGCCGATTGAAATAGTGTGGAATGCCTCGTAGGAGAGGTATTTTAGGGGTCGAAAAATTACGCTTGACCAAAATGATTTTCCAAGTAAGAAGGGAAATTATCCAGGGGATCGGGTGAAGTATTTTAAGAGCATGATAAGTCATTGTACTTATTTGTCCATGTGGGTGTCTATCGAGGACGATAATTGAAGGGTGAGCGGAGTTTCACATGGGTTGAAATCCCAGTATATTAGCAGAGGTAATGAAGGGTTACAACCCATCCTCCGAGTCGCATTTTTTTATGGCTGTGGCTCTTTGCACCGTGTTATACGCATCCATGCCGCCTGCACAAAACATGAATTTTCAGCGTGCCACAAACACAAAGCATAGGAGTTTTTCTAGTGCCCCACGCACAGAGGTGTCAGAATGTTTCACGCACTCACGGTAGAAAATCGTGACATGTTTTACGCACAAAACGGGGGAGCATGTTTGCATATTTTACGCATTAACCGATGAAACATTTTGGTCTACTTCACGCACAATCGGATAGGGCATTCAGGGCAGCGATTGCAAACATTACGTTTGTGCATAAACCACGTCAGAATTTTCTGCCGTGTGTGCGTGAAACACTTTGAGAACTGACATGCGGAAAACTCCTATGCTGCAACAGAAAAAATCACTTTAAAACATCTCTCCCAATTTCTTCGGATTTTTCGATCCATGCGAAACGACTTTAACGGCACGATTACATCCCTAAAGAAACTGTAACTGAAAAAGCAACCAGATACAAATTTCCCAACCCTTAAAACACCTCTCCTAATTTTTTTGGGATTTTTCAACTCATTGACCGTTCGATTAAGGCTTTAGATGAGCTGCAGCAGAAAAATCAACCATCAACGAATTTAACAACCCTTAAAATACCTCCCCTAATTTTTTGGGATTTTTCAGCTCATGCGAAACGATCTTCACCCCTCGTTTAGGACTTTAAATGAGCTGCAACGGAAAAAATTAACCACTAAAACGAATTTACTAACCTGCCAAATACCTCCCCTAATTATCTTAATATTTTTCGACTTTTTCAAAATAACTTTGACCGTTAGATTACACCCCTGAAGAAGCTGCAACAGAAAAAATCAACCACTAAGGAATTTCCGAACCCATAAAACACTTCCTCTAATTTTTGGAGATTTTTCAACCCATGTGAAACGACCTCGACCCTTCCATTACAGCGATAGATGAACTGCAACAGAAAAAATCACGTACCAACGGATTTTCCAATCCTAAAAATACTTCCTCTAATTTTCTTGAGATTTTTCCTCTCTTGCAAAGAAGTCATAAACATTAAGATTCCCGGTTCGCCATAGGAGTCTAATTTTTTGTTAAGGGCACCGTGTGCCGACAGTCACAATAGGGAGCACTGTAGTCTGGACAAAGTTTCTGCTTGATATCACAGTTCCCGCTGGAAACTTCCGCTATGTTCAGTGCCATGAAATTTTATCATGATAAAAACGGCCGTCCTCAAAAGGACAATATCGCAATGTCTGTTCATGTATGAGTAATTGTTTTGCGTGTGCTGTGGACATGAAAATTCGTTCCCTCGGTTTAACATTTAACCGCAAACAAGTGACGTATATTATCATGCTGACACATGTTCACATCTTGATGGTATGGTACCGACGAGATGCGCTACAGACCTAGAGAAATGCTCAATTAATGATGAGCAATTTCCCATCAAATCCGAAATGAAAAAAATTTCATGTTTCCGATTGTCTTGCCGATTTTTTTTTCAGAAGGAGTACATGAGACCAAGCCTTCATAAAATTTTTATAGCGATTCGATTTTTTTTCAGTGTTATGATTTTTCCAAAAATTTAACTTTTTCCACTTGAATTTTGATGTTTGCGAAAAAGGTGAAATAATTGAATTGAATCATTAGGAATGGAATTTTCGTTTTCATACATTGAAAGGTAATGGAAAAAGTTTGCAAGTGAGCACAATTGAACTAAATTTATTCAATTTTTACAGCCGGTACGGCAAAATCAAATTTTTTTTCCATCTGCAATTACTTGAAAACTTTAATTTCCTGGAGGGACGGGGCATGGCAATCACTAAAAAACGGCGACGAGTGGGGTACCGTGAGACGAAGCAGAGGGTTAAGAATCCTGACTTATTTGATAATCAATGAATTCACGACGGTTTGCATTTTCTAATCGTTTTGGAATTGTGAAAGTATTGGTTTTTGACTTGTTCAATGTTATCGCCTGACATAAAATGTTGAGATAACTTGTAACGAAAATTTTTTCCTCAACAGGGATTTCATATGAAGACGCAGGCCCACATAGCAATATCAGAATGGCTTCGAATGAAGTGAAACTCAAGCCTCTATCGACTATCATTCCCACACTGCGGAAAAGGATTTTTCCGTACTGAACTTCATTTTTCCTCGTCTGGGGATTGGTATTGGCACTTCCCCAAATACGTAAAAGTGAAAATCACTACGGAAAAATATCGTTCACGACTAGTGCCGTGGTTTTTTTTTACTCGCGTGCAGTTGACGTCCGAGTCGAAGGCGAGGAAAAAAGGCGAGTGCCATGGGGTAAAAAAATCCCATAGCACTCGCCCTGAAATATATTAATTTATGTTATTATAAGTCCGATAAACCGTGATTCTAACTTCGCTTCCTCGGCTAGATCGTGGTTTTCGGACCCATCATACAAAATGGGTTACATCACACGGTCCACAAAGTATTTTCTGACGAATGTGATTATAATCCGAGCCGAACGCGAGGATTATAGAGCCACTTTTGTCAGAAAATACTTTGTGGACCTAATGATGAAATCTACTTTTTTACCAAGTATCTATTTACTCACGAGAAGTATTCATTTTTTACTAAGGTATTTCTCCAGTCGAGTCATTTTCAATCCTCATTAAGTTTCAGTTATGACAATTATATTGCTCTAGATGATCATGTCAGTTATGACTTTGAGTGAACTCCCTCAATAATTATCAACATTAAAAGATTAATTGAAATTCTTCCTTGCGGAAAATGATAAATTTAGGAAAAATTAATAATCATTGAAGGAGTTGATCCATGGTCAATGTGTAAAATATTTATCCTCTAGAGTAACATGATGGTCATAATTTAAACCTAATCAGGCTTATCTGGGAATGATTCGACTGGAGAAATACGTTACTGAAAAAATAAGTACTTCTCTCATGTAAATGAATCCTTGGCAAAAATATTTTTTTTTTCGTAGTGTGGAAATGATAGTCGGTAAAGGCTTGAGTTCAACTTCATTCGAAGCCACGTTGATGTCGCCATGTGGGCCTGCGTCTTCATATGAATTCCCTGTTGAGGAAAAAATTGTCTCTGCAAGTTCTTTCGACACTTTATGTGAGGCGACAATATTGAAAAAGTCAAATACCCACACTTTCACAATTCCAAAACAATCAGAAAATGCAATTATTCATTGATTATCAAATAAGTCAGGATTCTTAAGTCTCCCCTTTTTCACCGTAACGATCAGGTGGATATTTGTTCTGAAGTGAAATATAACTTAAAATAAGTCCCTTTTTCAACTATTACTGGTCACAACTTTTTTTCTCTTTGTCATTTACGTATTGTTCCCACAAACGAATTTAAAAAAAAAAATCACTCGTTTAACGAAGAACGACTGAAAAAGAATTATTGTCCATCAGTGAAAATATCGGTAATTATGTCCCCAAGTTACCTCTAAAATTTCAGATCAAAGAAAAATAAGTTTTCGAGTAGTTGCAGTTTGAAAAAAAATTGATTTTACCATAACGGCTGTGAAAACGAAAATTCGATCCCTAATGATTAAATTCAAATATTTCGCCTTTTTCTCAATCTACCAAAATTCAAGCGGAAAAAGTCAAATTTTTTGAAAAATCCTAACTCGCTAAAAAAAATCGAATCGCTGTAAAAATTTTATGAGAGATTGGTCTCATGTACTCCTTGAAAAAAAATCGCCAAGATAGTCGGAAACATGACATTTTTTATTCATTTCGAATTTGACATGAAATTGCTCTAATGAGAAACTTCAAATTTTATTCCAATTGATTAATAGTTGGAGTAAAGAAAATTAATGATAATTACGCAAAAGATAATTACGACAAGCATTTATATTGTAAATTTAGGTAAAAGATGATCCAGAACTGCTGAAACGAACGATCAAACGCGACGAACAACAGAAAAAACGAAGTTCCAAAAAATGGGAGTCCAGGATATTTAGAATTGGGAAAGCTCAACAGGAGAAACAACGTAAACGAACAGAAAACATCATGAAGAAGAAAAAGGACAAGAAAACAAATAAAATGAAAAAGGCTTCTAAGAAAGGTCGCATAATTCCAGGATTTTAAATTGTTTTTTAGGAGTATACTAAAATAAAGTGGCGAAATGAATTTCTCAGATTTATTGCATTTATGCTAGTATGCAGTCGTTCCTTTACATAGAGCAAAATACTTTCATTAAGACTTTTTCAAACAAATGAATGAGGAATGAAGATTGTTGAAGAAGGAGGGCCAAGATCCTTATCCCAATCTCAATAAAAAAGATTCATGAGTGAAAACTGTCATGGGGACCTCCCAGTGATCACGTGATCAACTTCAATGCTCATCCCCATGTTGAATAAGCTACTTATAGCTAGCGGGGGGTAGGGGGGAATGCAAATTTGGATTATTGCAATCGCTTGATGGTTCGAAGGTGGTCAAAGGTAGTCCACTTTTAGCTTTTTGGTGGTAAAAATCAATTAATTATAAATAATCAAAAATTTCACCTGCAGCCAGCGGGAGGGATGCATCTGTTTGAAAAATTCAACATATGAATTTATATGTAGAATCCTGTGGTGGTCAAAGGTGGCCTAACACCAAATTCATCCGTTCATTTTTTTAACTGATAATGAATAATGTTTATCGGGTCTATCTTACCGAGAGGTATTCCCCCCACTACTCCCACTCCGGGCCCTGTCAATTCTTTTCTGCTATAGTGGGACACATGGCGCCACCCATAATTAATATCAACTGCCAATAAAACGAATGCCATTTGTACTCTACCGACACTGTTTGACCGACTGCAAGGAAAGTGTACAAATGTATGTGGTTGTGTACAGTTGTTGTTACAGAAATTTATAAGTAATATTGAAGTACTTATCTAAAGTAGATAAGTCAGATGATATATATACATATTGTACATTTTGTTACAAAAGATGTGTAGATAGCGCCACATTGCTTTGTACACCTGGTGTCCATTATTTTTTTGTATTTTCTATGGTAATAAAAAAAAATAATAACGACCAGTAATTTCTCTCAGCACTCCGTAAATTGACGCATTCCTGACGGAGAATTGACGGTCATTTCGACGGTCACAAAATTTTCGCGGATCCCTACTCTGTCGACAGTAGAACTTGAGTAGAACGGATTTTGGCTGCCTGGATGATTGAATCTTCAAATCCATAAAAAAACAAAAAACGTTCGGCCCGTCATTAGTGATTAGACCCGAATTGAAATCATCTGTTGTATCTTTGCCGTTACCTTTACCGATCTGGGAAAAATTCTAAAAATTCTAGTGCTATTTGCTGTGCCTTGAGTAAATTGCGTAAAGATTATTCCCAAAATTCCAGCGAATAAAATTTTAACCCGGATAAAACGTACGTGTGTAATATTCATTTTGAGAAAATTCATGACTGGACTGCATCAAGGCGAACTTATTTTCAATTGTTTCCATCAGCGAATACCACGCCATTTGACGGAGTTGAAGGGAAGAATTGAAAATAATTTCGCCTTGATGCAACTAAGTAATGCATTTGGAAGAGCTTATGGCACTTGCCTCCACTCAGTGGGAAGGGGATAGAGTCACCAATTTGGAATAGAATAGAATTTGAAAAAGCTTTTTTTATAGCTGCCAAAGCACGACTCCTTTCAATTCTTTGTATTCAGTTGGAACGTATTGAAGTATCTACACGGCTCGTATTTCTCCCCATGTTCTATGTTGCTAAGAACACCTTACGTGAAAATTTAATACGTCTGAAATTTGTTTCTAGCCATTTATCACTGATGGATATCGAAAGTAGGAGTGTTCGCATCAACTTGAGTTATGATGGAATGGATGACGAATTAACAACTCTCCAGCGCATTAGTCGTGGCCTGGATCATTTGCAGTTAGTGTCATCTACCGGTGACGAAAACAGTCTTCAACATCTCTTGGAAATACCTGAACTAAGTGAGTTCGAAAATCCGGATGAAGACACGATCAGATACAAAGAGGATAGACCTGAGTAGAGGCCCGGATCGGGGGGTTTGACTGACTCCAAAAATGTTAGTTGGTACCCCACGGGAAAGGCGGCGTCCCGGTCGAATTGTCGGTAAATGTGAGTCGGGTGCGTGAGTAACTCGGCAGTAGCAGTCCTGCTGTGACAGGGTCAGGTTCGGAGGGTGACTTTTGTCCTCCTTGTACTCAATGTTTACTTTATGTTTTCAGTTGATTTATTCGCCGACTAATTATTATTAAGGGATGAAACAAAGACTGTTCAATGGAGAATTAAATTCCCCATCCATCAACCCCCGTTTC